CCCTCGCTCGGAGGTTTCTTTTTCATTACCAGCACATGCGCTGATGAAGGTGCTGTGGGTTTGATCCCCACCACCGAAACATGTTTGCTTGTTGATTCAATTCAAGGGCCGGTTGAGAGACTTTTTCGAGTTCACTTAATTTCTGAGGGTACAAGTTTTTTTCTAACTGTCAGTTTTTTTGCTAACGCGACCTTCCTACGCTGCTGCTACTCTTCCATGACAACTGATCCCCCTGACCCTCCTCCAGCATTAGGCTTCTTAGGCGCACTTATAGATTCACCCTCTGCACTTCCGCACCAACCAACCACCCTGTCCCTCCAGGGCTCAAGAGCCTAGCCATGACCTTGTATGGCAGGTCCCTAGCCATGACCTTGTATGGCAGGTCCCTAGCCATGACCTTGTATGGCAGGTCCCTAGCCATGACCTTGTATGGCAGGTCCCTAGCCATGACATTGTATGGCATACTATTCACAGTTCCCTAGAGAATGGCATACTCCTCCCTCCCAGCGGAGGTGCAGCGGGTCATGTACCTTGGAAGGTCCTGCATACTCGTATCGTCTGGCACTGAAAGCAGCGGATGTCTGCTGCATGGCCCCAACTCAACCTCTCTTACTCCCAGTAGCGCATTCCTGTCGTGTGCAACCCATTTCTCCAGCCTTCAGCATGCCTTCAGCCTCTCTTCTCTCCAGTAACGCATCCCTGTTGTGTCCATTGTCCAACCCGTATCTCCAGGTCTTAAGAGCCTGGCCATGACGTCCAACGGCATTCTGCTGCCAGCCAAGCTACCGGCGCTTAAAGCAGCGGGCGTCTCTCACCTAAACGTCAGCCTGGACACACTCGTGGAGCCCAAGTTCGAGCTGCTCACACGGAGAAAGGGGCACGCGCGCGTTTTGAAGGCCATTGACATGGCACTAGACCTGGGGTTCAAACCACTGAAGGTGAGAAGTCCATACCATACCAGGGGAGTACACGTTAGACGTGAGTCTGGACTCTGGACACGCTTATGGAGCCCAAGTTCGAGCTGCTCACACGGAGAAAGGGGCATGCTCGCATTCTCCTCAAGGCCATTGACGTGGCACTAGACCTGGGCTTTAAGCCACTAATTGTGGGAAAGGATTGCCTTCAGTGGATTCGGTGACAGGAAATAAAGCAGTAAATCGTGAAATCTCAGCTGTCAGGGGTTAAGCCACGGACCACCATGCCTGCAGCTGAACTGTGTGGTGATGCGCGGTGTGAACGACGACGATCTGCTGGACTTTGTGGCGCTCACGAGGTACCGTCCCTCCCCCCCCTCCCCCCCCACAATGCCTCCATTCCTGTCTCCCCCCCCCTCCCCCCCCTCCCCCCCCCCCCCATCCCTCACTGCGCCCCCTGCAGCTCAACTGTGTGGTGATGCGTGGTGTGAATGACGACGAGATTCTGGACTTTGTGGCGCTCACGAGGGACCGCCCCATCAACGTGCGGTTCATCGAGTTCATGCCCTTCGATGGCAACGTGTGGAAGACCAAGAAGATGGTGTCATATGCCGAGATGATGGCGCGCATTGTGAGTCTCAATCTCTCAGTCTCTTGGGTGGGGGAAGGGGTGACCAGGGCCTGAATTGAGCCTTGTCAGCGGGAATGTATGGTGTTGCACCGTGCACGGAAGAGATGTTTTCATTCCCTAAGGTTCTGCTTTTGAGTCGACTCAGAACCCGCCTTGAGCCTTGTCAGCGGCTATGTATGGTGCATGGAAGAGTTGGTTTCGCACCCTAAGGTGATGGGCGCATTGTGTGTCTCTCGAGTGGGGAAGAGGTGACTAGGGACCACCACCCTTTCAGCGTGAGATTCATCGACTTCATGCCCTTCGATGGCAACGTGCGGCGCACCAACCAAGAAAGATGGTGTCTTGCGCCGAGATGATGGCGCGCATTGTAAGTTTCAGATTCGTCTACATTTTGTTTCTATCTGTCGACTCTTGGTTTACTCACGGTGTTTTTTAGAATTCTCACCCACACCCACACCCACCCTGCAAACTCACCCGCACCCACCCTGCAAACTCATCCACACCCACCCTGCAAACTCACCCACACCCACCCTGCAAACTCACCCACACCCACCCTGCAAACTCACCCACACCCACCCTGCAAACTCACCCACACCCACCCTGCAAACTCACCCACACCCACCCTGCAAACTCACCCACACCCACCCTGCAAACTCACCCACACCCACCCTGCAAACTCACCCACACCCACCCTGCAAACTCACCCACACCCACCCTGCAAACTCACCCACACCCACCCTGCAAACTCACCCACACCCACCCTGCAAACTCACCCACACCCACCCTGCAAACTCACCCACACCCACCCTGCAAACTCACCCACACCCACCCTGCAAACTCACCCACATCCACCCTGCAAACTCACCCACACCCACCCTGCAAACTCACCCACACCCACCCTGCAAACTCACCCACACCCACCCTGCAAACTCACCCACACCCACCCTGCAAACTCACCCACACCCACCCTGCAAACTCACCCACACCCACCCTGCAAACTCACCCACACCCACCCTGCAAACTCACCCACACCCACCCTGCAAACTCACCCACACCCACCCTGCAAACTCACCCACACCCACCCTGCAAACTCACCCACACCCACCCTGCAAACTCACCCACACCCACCCTGCAAACTCACCCACACCCACCCTGCAAACTCACCCACACCCACCCTGCAAACTCACCCGCACGCACCTCCTCGACCGTCTCGCGTGCTTCCTGTCCCCTCTCCGCCCTTTCCTCTTTTGCCTTCCGCCTCGAACCTCACCCATCCCTGTCTTCCCCCTTCCCCATCCCAGCCTGTTCTTCCCTTCCCCCCACCCCCCCGTCCCCTCCCTAGTTTTGAGGCGCCTCAAAACTAGATCCCTGTCTTCCCCCTTCCCCATTCCAGCCTGCGCTTCCCTTCCCCCCACCCCCCCGTCCCCTCCCTCTTCTCACCCTCCCCCGATTCCTCGCCCACCCAACTCCATCCCGGCCCTCCCCCTCCCTCAGAAGCAGCATCATCCCAGCATCGCTCGCCTAAAGGACCACCCATCTAATGACCACCCATCTAATGACCACCCATCTAATGATCACCCATCATACCTCTCCTCCTTTCCATGCCTCCCTCCCCCTCTCTTCCCCATCCCCACCCCCAACCCCCCCGCCCCCATTCTCCCCATCCTCCCTCCTTCCCTGTCTTCTGAAGCAGCGCCACCCTGACATTGCTCGCCTCAAAGACCACCCATCCGACCGCTCCGCACCTTACCCTCTCCCTCTCCCTTTCCTCCTCCCACTCCTTCCCCATCTGCAGAAGCAGCAGCATCCCAACATAGCTCGCCTCCAGGACCACCCATCGGACACGGCGAAGAACTTTCAGGTGCCCGGGTTTGCGGGCAGCGTGTCGGTGATCTCGTCCATGACGTCGCACTTCTGCTCCGGCTGCACTCGCCTGCGCCTGCTGGCTGACGGGAACCTCAAAGTGTGCCTCTTCGGGCCCAATGAGGTGAGGATCGTGATGTGCTACAGGCACCTACCCATGGGCCATGTCCCATACGTACATACCCCACTCCGGTGGGCAGTGTGTCTCGTGACTCGCGCATGACAGCCCGCTTCTGCTCCGACTCAAAAGCGTGTCTCGTAACTCGTCCATGACATCCCGCTTCTGCTCCGGCTGCACACTCGCCTGAGGCTGCTGGCGGATGGCAACCTCAAAATGTGCCTCTCTGGACCCAACGAGGTGGGCTGTGCAAGTGGTTACTGTTGGGGAAACATCACGTGTGAAGTCTAGTTTTGAGGCGCCTCAAAACTTTACTGTTGGGGAAACATCACGTGTGAAGTCTAGTTTTGAGGCGCCTCAAAACTTTACTGTTGGGGAAACATCACGTGTGAAGTCTAGTTTTGAGGCGCCTCAAAACTTTACTGTTGGGGAAACATCACGTGTGAAGTCTAGTTTTGAGGCGCCTCAAAACTTTACTGTTGGGGAAACATCACGTGTGAAGTCTAGTTTTGAGGCGCCTCAAAACTTTACTGTTGGGGAAACTCCACGCGTGAAGTCTAGTTTTGAGGCGCCTCAAAACTTTACTGTTGGGGAAACTCCATGTGTAAAGTTTCCCAAACATTCCTTTGATGGAATGATTTTCAAACCCCCTTTCTCTTTCTCCCTCGCTGCTCTGCTCTCCCCTGCTGCACTCTTTCCGTGGCAACAGTTTTTTTTCCCGTCCACGCGTGTGTTCCTCACATGCTCTCACATGCATGACCCGACTCATAACTACTTCACATGTAGGCTACACTTTTCTGATCTCGTGTATGCGCACGATTATGATCGCTTGGTGCCATCGAATCTGATGTTGCTGGCAGGTGAGTCTGAAAGATGCGCTAAGGCAGGGAGCAACACAGGAGGAGCTCCTCTCCCTCATCTCTGCTGCGGTATGCCTTCTCCTCACTGTACTGTTCATTAGACTGCTTTTGATGTTAAATATGCTGTTTCATTATGGTGCATTGCCCTCCATGACAGTCCATTTGCTAAGTGTTGTTTTCTCATCCCAATTTACACTTACCAACCGAGCAGGTCAAGCGGAAGAAAGCTGCTCATGCGGGCATGCTGGAGATTGCGCGAACACACAATAGACCTATGATCACCATTGGCGGTTGATGGGAGATTGCATGATGGATCATTATTGAGGTGAATGATGAAAACACATGCAAATAAGGGACCCCTTTTTTAATGTGCATTTTGAAAGAGTTGAATGAAATTCCTCTTGCAGACCTGCAATGTAGCACCATTGTAAGCTAGGAAGATGCCTAGAGGGAAATTTGAGTCATTAGATTCAACATGATTTATTGATACAATATTTTTTCCCGTGCGTTCTGTATTCATTGTCACTCTTGGAACCATCGGGTATTATGCGCGCCATCAGCAAGCTCCCCTCTGCACCCAGTACATAAAGACAGGCACTTCACGCCGAGGCAACCGGTGGTCAGTCTGCGCGATTCCCGCTCAAGACCGTCGGACGTCCCACCATCTGTCCTTATTGCAATTGCAACCCCCCTGTTCGTCTCCAAACCGGCAATCGAAACCTTGGCGAAACCGTGGGTCATGGTTCCACCAGCCAGCGTGCTTCTGTGAGTGAGGCAGCCATGATCACGTCGTTGGGGTTACGCAGATTCCTCGCTGCTGCTTGCGAGACGTCGCATATGGTGAAGCATGTTATCTAGCATAAGATTTTATCAAGGAGGCTTCTTCGGAGGCTTCTCCAGACTTGCACCTCCGGGAATCTGGACTAGAATCTAGCCTAAATCACGGCAGCGGCGATGGGGGCGATGGCAGTAGCGGCGTCGCGGTTCGTCCGTGAATCCGTCCGTCCGTACATCTCCGCGTAAAATCCGGCCATCTGGTGATCCCGTCCGTCCGTTCAGCGGCCCATCATGGCAGCGGCGATGGCGGCGATGGCAGCCGCGGCGTCGCGGTTCGGCGGCAAGGGCGGGCTGCAGTGGCACGACTGGCAGACGCTCATGTCCGAATTCAATGAATCTCACGAGATGCAGAACCAGTGGGTGCAGCTGTACCCGCCTCCCGTGCTCTTCGACCTCGGGCTCAACGTCATTCTCAAAGACAAGGAGCCGGCTGCAAACAAGGTACCTATGGGAGGAGGGTGTTTTGGAGAATTCTAAAACCCAACCCGAACAAGGTAGCTAGGGGAGGAGGATACTCAGTGGTGCTTGCTAGTAAGGGGGAGGCATTTTACGAGATGCAGAACCCATGGGTGCAGTTGTACTCGGCCCCGTGCTCTTCGACCTCGGCTTGAACGTCATCCTCAAAGACCAGGAACCCGCTGGCAGTAAGGTGCGGGATAGAGGGAAGTCTGTGCAGGTAAGTGCATCCAGCAAGGCGCACAAGAAGCCGGCTGGCAATAAGGTCCTGGGCGAGGAGGGAGATGTGTGGATTAGGTGGCAGTGGGTGCAGCTGTACCCACTCCCCCCACACCCGTGCTCTTCGATCTCAGGCTGGGCGTTATTCTCGAAGACAAGGAAACGGCTGGCAATAAGGTTGGTTTGAACGAAGTTGATGCTGGTAGGTAAGGGTACCTTATCAGAGTTGAGGAGCCTCACGAGATGCAGAGCCAGTGGGTGCAGCTGTACCCCCCGCCCGTGCTCTTAGATCTCTCGGATTGAACGTCATTCTTAACGACAACATCAAGGGACCGCCTGGCAACAAGTTACAGGATAGAGGGAATAGATAGAGGGTAGCTGCTGTCGTTCCTGGAGGAGCACGCGCTGCTGCTGGTGGCGGGGGAAGGAAGGGAGTGTTGAGCCGTCGGACGATGATTATTCTGTTCTCTTTAGCCATCTCGAAAACAGGGAGCTGTCAAAACAGCTCTGTCTTTCTCCCTCATGCTGCGTCTCCCCATCGTCACAGGAGTCTATTTTTGAGGCGCCTCAAAAATAGACTCCTCACGCCTGCACCACATCACAGGCGCAGCTGCTGTCGTTTCTGGAGGAGCACCTGCTGCTGCTGGTGCTGGTTGTGAGGTGAGAGGATGTTGATGCGTCTCAAGAGCTTTTCCGCCTCCCTGCGTCATGGTTTACCCCTCCACCACACCCCACCACACCCCACCACACCACAGGCGCAGCTGCTGCTGGTACTCGTTATGAGGTGAGAGTGTGTTGATGCGTCTCAAGAGCTCTTCCACCTCCCTGCGTCTTGTTTTACCTCCCCACCACACCCCACCATACCACACCACAGGCGCAGCTGCTGTCGTTTCTGGACGAGCACGCGCTGCTGCTGGTGCTGGGGGAGAGAGAGCTCGACCTGCCACTCCCCACGCTGCTGCCCTCCCCCTCCGGTATAGGCACTGGTGGTAGCGGTGCTGGTGCCGCCGGTACCAGCAGCGTTGGTGGTGATGGTGAGACTGGTTTCGGCGCGTCTCTCTCCTTCCCCTCGGCTCACCTCCTAGAGGCGGCCATGACAGCTCGGCCCACTCTGCAACGCCTGCTCTCCCTCCTCGCCTCCCTCACGCACTACCCTTCTCCCCCCTCCTCCTCCTCCTCCTCTCTCACCACTGCCACCTCGTCTGTCTTCCCCTCCTCCTCCGCCTCCCATTCCTCCCACGCACCCCCATCTTCCTCCTCCTCTGTATCGACATCAACCACTGACGCTGCAGCGCAGTCAGCAGCAGCAGCCAGGTCAGCATCGGTGCAGTCAGCATCAGCGGCACAGCTGGCAGGGATGGCAGGAGTTGGAGGGGACGGGGTGTCGGTGTCGGCATTGGCGTCGCTGCCTGCTGGGTTGAGGCCGCAGCTGGTATCGGCTGTCACTTCCGTCTTCATCCAGGTGTGCAGTGCAGTGCAGAGTGGCGTTTTCTGGGTTCATTCACCATGCAGCATGCTTTGATGCGCCTCCAAAAAAGGTATGCAGAGCGGCGTTTTCTGGGTTCTTTCACCATGCAGCATGCAGCGCTGCCAGCGTCTTTTGAGCCGACTCACAAGTCATATCGCTATAATGTCACACGGAACCAGGTATGCTGCACGACGGAGCGCTGCCAGAATCGACCTAATCAGCATAGAAGCACAGCTGGCAGGAGGTGGAGGGGATGGGGTGTCAGTCAGTCTCTGCACCGGCGTCGTTGCGTTCTGGGCTGAGGCTGCAGCCAGTGTTGGCTGTCACTTCCCTGTTCGTTCAGGTTCAAGCCCTCTTCACCTTACCTCGAGACTTTTCGGTCGACTCTAAAGTCACCTTCCCCTCGCTTCCTTCCTTCCCCACGGAGCGATAGTAAGCTCAATCTCTTGCCATTACCTGGACCCACACTGTCATGGGCCAACAGCATTTCCCACCCCAGCTTCCACCGTCACTCCTTCACAACTTCACTCCTTCACTCCGTTACCCCTCCACCCCCCCTCTCCCTCCCCACGCCCCCCCCCGCCCCCCAGCTCGAGGCCGTGGATATTTTTTCTGATCTCCTCTCCTCTCCTCTCCTCTCCTCT